TGAAGGAATGTAGACTTTCGTTCCGTTATCTCATATCTCTTATTCACGTTTGACTCAGCATCCACAGGGAACTTATTTCTCCCTCCTTACCTTCCATAACGCTCCTCTATTCCTCCACTATTCCCTCCTTCCCTTTGATACCGCTCTTCCACTCCTCCGATTCACAAATTAAAACTGAAGCCTCCTCCCCGAGCTATATTCAGCCCCCTCTGAACATGCAGCCTGGTGACAAGTAGCTTCCATCATACCCCTGCTTCCGTACACACACACACACACACACACACACTCAACCGCTCTCCCGTTGAGAGTCTGGGGTTGTTAACGAGAGAGCCGACCTCTCGTGACCCTGCTCTGTAAAATAAAAAATTCAGGTGTAAGCCCGTGGTAACCCTCCCTCCTCTCTGGCGGGCTGTCTCAACGGCCCTCACCCTCTCCGCAACCCTGCCTGGGGGTAATACACCTCCCCTTCTCCTCCTCCTCCTCTACACACACATGCTCTTCCGCTGGGGCCGCCCGTCGTGCTGAAACTAATCCGCATGCCAGCCAGCCTGCCCCACAGAAACAGCTCACCGGGAGAAAGGAAAGGAAAGAAATACATAAAAAATGGCTGCCAAGTACCCTTTCCACCAACTCCTTTCATTTCATACTAGACCTCCCCTCCTTAATTTTCATCATCATGACCCCTTCTGTACTGTTACAGTCAGTCAGTCAGTCATGAGGGATTGGTGGTTTGGAATGTGTTCATTCCATTCTGATGGAACCTGGAATGATACAATCCTTGGTGTGTCCAGTCACTGGTGGTGCTGCTCTCCTCTGGGAATCATGCCTGTTGTAGAATCCACAGTATGATGTCTGCGTGTTTTTCATGTTGACAGCATGTTTGTAGCTCGTCACGCCCTGCGCTCCCTCTCTGCCTTCAGGTAACAGTCTCAGAGCACAGAGGTACAACAGGGTCCATCAGCAGTGCTCTAAGTCCTGCTCTCATGGGTCAGCATAGAGAAGGATCACAGAATGTCTCCCTTGCCAGAACCAGTAACAGGCCTGTCAAACAGGTGCTTCAACTCTCCAGCCAAGCAGAAGATGCTGTGCAGCCACACTGCATTAGTACGGGGCTGGGGCTTGGGTTTAGCCACCTCTCCCTCTCCCTCCTCCCTCCTCCCTCTGCCCTCTTCCTCCATCCTCTACCCCTCCTCCCTCTTCCCCCTATCCCCCCCCCCCTCCTCTCTCTCTAACCCCTTCCACCCTTATGCTCCCCCTATGGCCTATGTCCCCCACAGACTGGAGTGCTAGCTGGCCTGGCCCCCATCTGCTTTGTAATAAGCTGTCTGTCAGGGGCCCAGGCATGCCTGGCAGGGAGAGTTCCACCTCTGTGAGAGCAGGGTTCTTACAAGCAGCATCTGGTTGGGCACTGGTGCTTGGCTGTAGGCCATGACCCAGCCTCTTGTGCTGAAGTAGCCATAATGCAATTTCCCATGACCCTCTGGGAAGATTGGTTTAGTCCCTCTTCTTTCTGTGTGGCGGCCGGGGCTGCCTGGTTCGAGTATATGAGAGAGTATCTCTGCCGCTCTGCTCTCTCTCTCTTTCTGCTCTATCTCTTTCTCAAAGATAATTATTATCATACACATCAACCTACATAAAAGTGATGAAGCACAATTAGTATACATTTTTTATCCCAAAATAATCAGCTATTCTATGACTACAGCCAATGCCAATTGCATCCATGAAGCGAATACATGTAGAATCCACTGAAGGTCCTCTTCATCTAAGGTTTATCATTGTAGCACAGTCTGCACATCCACTAATTCCCCTCTTTGTACACTGATACTTACTCAACCTACAAATACATCCACTGCTTCAAGTATTTCTGATACATTGGCCAGGTGCAGGATCAGAAATATCTATCCAATGAATCTCCCCAGGAAAGCAGTCAGCGCTATCAACCATCTCTAGGGAGCCAAATAAAGGCCTTTATTCTCGTATCTCTCTCTATCGCATAAGAGCTAAGATGAATGATGTCTCCTTTCTCTCTCAGTCCTCTCACTCTCTCCTCTCTCCTCTCCTCTATCTCTCTCGCTCTCTCTCTCTCTCTCTCTCTCTCTCTCTCTCTCTCTCTCTCTCTCTCTCTCTCTCTCTCTCTGTCTCTGTCTCTGTCTCTGTCTCTGGCAGGTGGATGGGTCTGGACTGGTTGAACCCTCCTCTCCACTCTTGTTTATACCCTGTTTGTAAGTCTTGAATAAATCAAGGCAAATTGCTATGGATGGCACTTGCTAGAGACACAAGTGCATACATCTAATATCTTATCCTGGAAGTGAATTGTATCATCTCCTATGGAGTAACCTTCCCTGTACCCTCTTGTCCGCCCTTAGAATACATTTGGCATATCTTTAGGCACCAATATGATTTTATTCACCCCTATTCCCCCTCCCCTCACACCCCACACCTCACCCCTATTCCCCCTCCCCCACACCCCCACACCTCACCCCTATTCCCCCTCCCTCACACCCCACACCTCACCCCTATTCCCCCCTCCCCCACACCCCACACCTCACCCCTATTCCCCCTCCCCAACACCTCACCCCATTCCCCCTCCTCCACACCTCACCCCTCAATGTCACTCTTATAGTATGTGTTCAGACTCAGAGATGCAGGCCATTCAAATATCATTCAATAAATAGCTGTTATTTTTTATGTGCTACTGAATCACACAGCATGACCTGGAAAAAGAAAGCCCTCCATTTATTTTTTATTTATTTTTACAAATCCATTTTTTGCTAATGGTTAAAAAAATAAAACGCTAACCTTTAGCCCGTGTGAGAGACTGACCTCAGTGCTCAATCTGCTTTGCACACAGACCTTGTAAATATCACTTCTTTATACAGTAGAGTAAAACCCATTGCTCAAGGCGGTATATGCCAACAGTTATTGGATATGTCAAAAAATAAGCCCATTTCCTCTGAAATAAAGGGTTGATGGAGAGAGGATCAGAGAGAGAGAGAGATGACTGAGAGAGAAGAGGGTGAGAGAGAGAGAGAAAGAGAAGAGAGAGAGAGAAGAACAGGGAAACAAAATGAGGTGAGAGAAGAAAGGCATGTAGACAGATAAAGAGAGGAGGGAGGGCTGACTAACAGTGAAGTACAGAAGCAACGGGAGATACAAGAGCCTCTGTAATAATAACATGCTCTATAGAGCTCTGGTCAAAAGTAGTGCACTATTTAAGGAATAGGGTGCAATAGGGGACTCCAAACAAGAAATGATTAACAGATTTGATGTCGGGTATAGATATGCTGTTCATTGACTACAGCTCAGCGTTCAACACCATAGCTCATCACTAAGCTAAGGACCCTGGGACTAAACACCTCCCTCCGCAACTGGATCCTGGACTTCCTGACGGGCCGCCCCCAGGTGGTAAGGGTAGGTAACAACACATCTGCCACGCTGATCCTCAACACAGGGGCCCCTCAGGGGTGCGTGCTCAGTCCCCTCCTGTACTCCTGTTGCCGACGACACAACAGTGGTAGGCCTGATCACCGACAACAATGAGACAGCCTATAGGGAGGAGGTCAGAGACCTGGCCAGGTGGTGCCAGGATAACAACTTCTCCCTCAAAGTGATCAAGACAAAGGAGATGATTGTGGACTACAGGAAAAAGAGGACAGAGCACGCCCCCATTCTCAACGACGGGGCTGTAGTGGAGTAGGTTGAGAGCTTCAAGTTCCTTGGTGTCCACATCACCAACAAACTATCATCAACACACCAAGACAGTTGTGAAGACGGCACGACAAAGCCTATTCCCCCACAGGAGACTGAAAGTGTCCTCAGATCCTCAAAATGTTCTACAGCTGCACCATCGAGAGCATCCTGACTGGTTGCATCACTGCCTGGTATGGCAACTGCTCGGCCTCCGACCGCAAGGCACTACAGAGGGTAATGCGTACGGCCCAGTACATCACTGGGGCCAAGCTTCCTGCCATTCAGGACCTTTATACCAGGCAGTGTCAGAGGAAGGCCCTAAAAATTGTAAAAGACTCCAGCCACCCTAGTCATAGACTGTTCTCTCTGCTACCGCAAGGCAAGCGGTGCAACAGGCTTCTTAACAGCTTCTACCCCCAAGCCATAACACTCCTGAACAGCTAATCAAATGGCTACCCCCCCCCCCCCCCCCCCCCCCCCTTTTTACGTTGCTGCTACTCTCTGTTTATTATCTATGCATATTCACTTTAAGTCTACCGACATGTACATATTACCTCAATTACCTCGACTAACCTGTGCCCCCGCACATTGACTCTGTACCGGTACCCCCTGTATATAGCCTAGCTACTGCTATTTTACTGCTGCTCTTTAATTATTTGTTATTTTGATTTTTTTGTTATCTATTCTTTACTTAACACTTATTTTTCTTAAAACTGCATTGTTGGTTAAGGGCTTATAAGTAAGCATTTCACTGCTACACCTGTTGTATTCGGCACATGTGACAAATAAAATGTGATTTGATTTTATATCTGTAAAACACAAAAATACTGACTAAGCTTTATAATAAGCTACACAATTACAAGCATGTTGAAAGGGCTGATGCTGATACATTTTATTTTGTATTAGATTTTCTAGGGGACAAATCCCAAAAGATATCCTCTGCCCATTGGTAATGCCACCTCATCAGCCAACCTGTTTTAGATGAGACGTGCTAATGATTTAACAGTGTGACATTAATGTGAAAACTGAGTCTACATCCCAAATGGCAAATTACTACTTTTCACTTGGGCTCATATAGGGAATAGGGTGACATTTGGGACGCACCCTAACCTGAATAACTTACCGTTCTTCAGAAACCATGACTATTTTCTACCCATGCACTCCCAAGTTCCAACAGAGAACAGACCGGTAGCATTATGCAGCTCCAACCCCTTCCCTTCTCTTCTCTCACCTCACTCATTTGGCTGCACTCGTTTACCACCATTGCCATCCCTCTCTTGTTGTTGTTTATTTGTCTGTTTGTTCCTCAGGATACAGAGTTGGTGCGTAACATCTGTCGCTGGGTGAGACAAGCTGTCCAGATCCCCTTCTTCGCCAAACTGACCCCCAACGTCACCAACATCGTGGATATAGCCAAGGCAGCACACGAAGGTATACTAACTAGTCCCACTTACAGACCATTTGAGTACAGTATATTCATTGAACATTGACTTTAAGTGTGTCCCAAATGGTACCCTATTCCCTATGTAGCAAACTACTTTTGACCAAACCCCTATAGGGCTCTAGTCAAAAGTAGTGCACTATGTAGGGCATAGAATGTAATTTAGAACAAACATAAAGTCAATGTTCATTGAATATACTGTACTCAAATGGTCTGTTGTTGTTGTTTAGTTTCTTTTTGATGTTACATTTTTTTTAAATACAGTGAGGGAAAAAAGTATTTGATCCCTTGCTGATTTTGTACGTTTGCCCACTGACAAAGACATGATCAGTCTATAATTTTAATGGTAAGTTTATTTGAACAGTGAGAGACAGAATAACAACAACAAAATCCAGAAAAACGCATGTCAAAAATGTTATAAATTGATTTGCATTTTAATGAGGGAAATAAGTATTTGACCCCTCTGCAAAACTTAGTCTTGACTTAGTACTTGGTGGCAAAACCCTTGTTGGCAATCACAGAGGTTAGACGTTTCTTGCAGTTGGCCACCAGGTTTGCACACATCTCAGGAGGGATTTTGTCCCACTCCTCTTTGCAGATCTTCTCCAAGTCATTAAGGTTTCGAGGCTGACGTTTGGCAACTCGAACCTTCAGCTCCCTCCACAGATTTTCTATGGGATTAAGGTCTGGAGCCTGGCTAGGCCACTCCAGGACCTTAATGTGCTTCTTCTTGAGCCACTCCTTTGTTGCCTTGGCCGTGTGTTTTGGGTCATTGTCATGCTGGAATACCCATCCACGACCCATTTTCAATGCCCTGGCTGAGGGAAGGAGGTTCTCACCCAAGATTTGACGGTACATGGCCCCGTCCATCGTCCCTTTGATGCGGTGAAGTTGTCCTGTCCCCTTAGCAGAAAAACACCCCCAAAGCATAATGTTTCCACCTCCATGTTTGACGGTGGGGATGGTGTTCTTGGGGTCATAGGCAGCATTCCTCCTCCTCCAAACACGGCGAGTTGAGTTGATGCCAAAGAGCTAGATTTTGGTCTCATCTGACCACAACACTTTCACCCAGTTCTCCTCTGAATCATTCAGATGTTCATTGGAAAACTTCAGACGGCCCTGTATATGTACTTTCTTGAGCAGGGGGACCTTGCGGGCGCTGCAGGATTTCAGTCCTTCACGGCGTAGTGTGTTACCAATTGTTTTCTTGGTGACTATGGTCCCAGCTGCCTTGAGATCATTGACAAGATCCTCCCGTGTAGTTCTGGGCTGATTCCTTACCGTTCTCATGATCATTGCAACTCCATGACGTGAGATCTTGCATGGAGCCCCAGGCCGAGGGAGAATGACAGTTATTTTGTGTTTCTTCCATTTGCGAATAATCGCACCAACTGTTGTCACCTTCTCACCAAGCTGCTTGCCGATGGTCTTGTAGCCCATTCCAGCCTTGTGTAGGTCTACAATCTTGTCCCTGACATCCTTGGAGAGCTCTTTGGTCTTGGCCATGGTGGAGAGTTTGGAATCTGATTGATTGATTGCTTCTGTGGACAGGTGTCTTTTATACAGATAACAAGCTGAGATTAGGAGCACTCCCTTTAAGAGTGTGCTCCTAATCTCAGCTCGTTACCTGTATAAAACACACCTGGGAGCCAGAAATCTTTCTGATTGAGAGGGGGTGAAATACTTATTTCCCTCATTAAAATGCAAATCAATTTATAACATTTTTGACAAGTGTTTTTCTGGATTTTGTTGTTGTTATTCTGTCTCTCACTGTTCAAATAAACCTACCATTAAAATTATAGACTGATCATGTCTTTGTCAGTGGGCAAACGTACAAAATCAGCAGGGGATCAAATACTTTTTTCCCTCACTGTAGCTTCATGTAGTGACTATAGCAGCCTCATATGACCGTGTTCTCTTTCGCCCACATCTAAAACACTTCTACATCATTTTCATTTGAAAGCCAAGTGATAGACACAACCCCAAACAACATAGAGACACTAATGGAATTACTTGGCACAGTGAAAGTCCACAGGCATCTAAACAGACGCCCCGCCGTGCTCCACAGCGCTCCGAAGGACCCTATAAGGTGCTGGTTGGTTTGGCCCTGGGTTTGGCTGGCGTAGCTGAGCCCTGTGCCCGTTCCCCCACAGCTAATGACTAAACGTGTCCCTGCAGGTGGTGCAGATGGCGTCACAGCGACCAACACAGTATCTGGGCTGATGGGGCTCAAGGCAGACGGCACTCCTTGGCCTGGCATTGGCCGAGGCAAGAGAACCACATATGGCGGCGTATCTGGTAAGTGTCGTCTGACTTGCTGCTTTTCCCTTTGCTCCCCCCCGCCACTCCCTCAGGGCCGGAACAGCCAGAATGTGTGTGCGTGTGTGTGTGCGTGCGTGCATTTTTGCATACGTGTGTGTGTCAGTGTGCGGGGGTGTAAAGGGGTGTGCTGTAGTTTAAATGCTGCAGTCTTGGTCCACTCCACTGCTTATTTTATGGGGCTGTGCTTTGCGTGACACTGAGGCTCTGAGGCTGGACACTGTCTCTAATAGTAGTGACAGATGGACCAGAATGAGTCTGAAAGTGCTTCTAATGCATCCTCTGCTCTGCTCTGCTGGGAGGAAATGGGAGAGGCTGAATACAAAAAAAGACTACCACAATCATTCTGAGGGACTGAGAGCACCCACTTTTCTTTTTACAGTTTGAAATAATATTTTAGACAGAGTGAGATATTGGAAGGTGCGTGTACAAGTACATGTTTATTATTTGATGTGGAAACTTGATGTGTAATTACCAGAAAATACTTTTGTTTTTGTTTTTTTTGATGTTTTTCTGTGCACTGGATATTCTGGTGGTGTACTGGATATTGAATTAGGATCTCATGTTTTAATGTATTTTACAGTGTTACTGTCAGTCTCATGTAAGCATCGATTTCTCTCAGTAGAATGGAAGTTTCACCATCAATCAGGTTTCCTTTATTGTAAAGAAACCTTGAAATCACAGCCAATGAGAAAAAGCCTGGCTTATAATAGTGTTTTGCTCATTGTGCTGTATGTCAAGCATTTACTTGGTTTTCAGTCTCCATCTGCGGTAATTACACACATTCTATGGAGATAAAAGCAGTATTTAGGCAGACTATGACAGGTATGGCCAATCTCTGCAATGACACTCTCTCATGAAGATCTGTTTCCTGATATCGTATTCTTCTTCTCCCAAAGCGTAACCGTTTGATTATCGTATCCTGTAAAGAAGGAAAGTGTTCTTACCTGCAAAGCCTTTTGGGTAACACGCTCGTTCTCATTTTCAGTCTGTTTGAGTGATGTGACACAAGTATTGCACAGGGAATTGAAACAAAGGACCCAGAGGTTGCTATGAGATATTGACTTTGTCTGTGAAAGGGAAATCTCTTTTATGAAGACGTTATAAAGGGAAAGAGATCTACTGTCTTCAAAAAGAACACACTGCCCATCATAGTCTCCTCAGATTTGATTGTATTTCAGATCAACATGCCTTTTGAAGTGTGCCTCTGTGTCATGTGAAAGGTGTGGCCTATAAAGATGTATAAGCCACATCATATCACATCATACTGTCATTGTAGTGATCTTACATGATGGACAAATACAACTATATGAGAATTACTGTACTGTAAATGTGCTTTACAGTTTGTCTTCGAAAATTGTTCCTTAGTTTTCCTTGTTTCCTTAATTTAGACCAATTCCCACTCTCATATCACCTCACTAACCCCTTCACCTATTCTACTCATATCACCTCACTTCCAACAAATCCTGGTTTGAGAGAACAACAGAATGTAACCCTCCTATTTGGTGGAGACATAGTACACTGACTGACTCAATAATGCATGGAGATACTGTTTCTTACCTTGGCCCCTCAGTGTACCTCACTGTTCCACAACCTTACTGCTGGCCTGTATGCTGTTGCATTGTTAGTGTCATTTATGAGATAGCAGCATTATCTTATGGCACTGCCCCTCAGTGTGACTAGGGTCACTATTGTGTCCATAAGAAAGGCATGTGTGAACTGCTGTGACCCCCCTCCCCCCTCTTTCCCCCTCTTTTCCTGCCTGTCTCATTCCTCTTTTCTCTTCTCTCCAGTCTCTATCCTCTCTCTCTCTCTCTCTCTCTCTCTCTATCTCTCTGCCCTCTTCCCTCTTTTCTCTCAGCTCGATTTCAATCCCTTGCCTCAGCCACCGTATCAACGTCAGTGAGAGGAGAAAAAAAGAGACTTAGAAAGGCAGTGTACATTAACAATTTATAGGGAAACTATTGCAGAAGTATTTTTTTTTATTTTTTTTTTTTTTTTACGACTCAATGTCATCTTTTTCCCATTCAAGCCATGGCTGCCGGCTCCTGTGAGAATCCCCCAGGAGTAGGGTGATGGTGCTGGGGCTCCAGTGGAGAGGCAGGCAGGCAGGCATCTATCACCTCCCAACACCGCTGTAGGGATACTGGGCCACAGATCCCCACCTTCTCCTCTCCTCCCTACTTCTGCTCAACCAGAGAGGAAAGCAAGTCCAAGTGAACAGACTGTTAGATAATGTGCAGTAGACTACTACCTTTTACAATACCCTAGTAAAGTACTTCAATAGAGCCTGCTATACAGTATTTTTTATACTTTATGCTCAGTGTAAATGTATTTGTGTGTGTGTGTGTGTGTGTGTGTGTGTGTGCGTGTGTGTGTATTTCTGTGTGTGTTAGTGTGTGTGCATGTTGGTGTGTGTGTTTGGTGAGTGTATGTTTGTGTTCGCTGTGCGTGCGTGTGTGTGTGCATGCTTGCATGTATATGCCCTGCGTACATACATACCTGTCCATGCTTGTGTGTGTGTTTAGACTCACAGCTAATCCAGAGTGTGTCAGATCAGATGCTGTTTGGACTCACAGCTCATCCAGTGTGTGTCAGATCAGATGCTGTTTAGACTCACAGCTGATCCAGTGTGTGTCAGATCTGATGCTGTTTAAGGGCTTATCTGTCAGGTTTTCCCTGACGTTCTGTTATACCCCCCCACAGTTCCCCCCCACCTCATATTTACTACGCCCAACGACAAGCCAAACAGATACAAATGTCAACTGCTCGGTTTGAAGTCTAGCTCCACGTAAAGATTGACATTTCACCAGGAAAACACTATTTTTCCTAGACGTATGTTTCATTTTTCACGTTTGGTTTTGTGAGTTTTTTTTGCACCTAGATGTTTTTCACCTGCCACAAAGCAAGTCAATAAAGGGACTTTGATCTATGCAGTATACAATAGGTTCTGCTTTCAACTAAACATTATAGCCACTGCCTTTGGTTGGTAATGGTGTTTTCCAGGCAAAGCTGTGTTTGTTTTTGTTGATACAGTTATATAAATGGTATTTTGGCATGTGCATTTGTTCTATGCAGTCAATCAAAACGGATATATGATGCCCTTGCACTGCTTTGTAGAACTTTCAAAGATTACAGCATGAAAAAGATTTTGCCCTGGGCAGGTGCTAACACTGAGATCCATAATCACTTTCCCTTTCTCAATGGCTTAAAAGTCTGTATGTTCCTCATCTTCTCCATCTACTACAGCTGCATTGATCTGAAAGAACTGACCAGGTGAAAGCCAGCCTAATGATGAGCTTCCACCATATTGTTTTTACCTGTGAAGTATTTTCCAATTAGTCCAGATGAAGGCTTGTAGGCGAAGAGAGGAGAGGATATACTTTTTTAGACAATTGAGAAGGAGGCAGTATCTTGAAGTGAACCAGGCCACTCCAACGGTTAGCTAGCAGGATGGGAGGTATGCTCAGGCATAACCACAGCTCATTTCAGAGGGATTATTTGGAGTGGGTTGGGGGGACGAGAGAGAGAGACAGAGAGAAGGAGAGAGAAAGGGAGAGAGAGCGGAAGAGAGAGAGAGACCCCAAACAGACCCCACAGAGCCCCAAGACAGCAACACAATTAGACCCAACCAAAGAGATAATTACTTCACACATTGGAAAGAATTAACAAAAAACAGAGCAAACTAAAATACTATTTGGCCCTAAACAGAGTGTACACAGTGTCAGAATACCTGACCACTGTGACTGACCCAAAATTAAGGAAAGCTTTGACTATGTACCAACTCAGTGAGCATTGCTATTGAGAGAGGCTGCCGTAGGCAGAACTGGCTCTCAAGAGAAGACAGGCTATGTGCACACTGCCCACAAAATGAGGTGGAAACTGAGCTGCACTTCCTAACCTCCTGCCAAATGTATGACCATATTAGAGACACATATTTCCCTCAGATTACACAGACCCACAAAGAATTCGAAAACAAATCCAATTTTGATAAACTCCCATATCTATTGGGTGAAATACCACAGTGTGCAATCACAGCAGCAAGATGTGTGATCTGTTGCCACAAGAAAAGGGCAACCAGTGAAGAACAAACACCATTGTAAATACAACCCATATTTATGTTTATTTATTTTCCCTTTTGTACTATTTGCACATCGTTACAACACTGTATATAGCCATAATATGACATTTGAAATGTCTCTATTCCTTTGGAACTTTTGTGAGTGTAATTTTTACTGTTCATATTTTATTGTATATTTTTCCTTTTTTTTTTAAGTAATAAAAAGTAAAACAATGTTTGGAAATATATACACAGTAAGAATAGAGAGTATACTCTTGTTCTTTTTTAAACATATATTTTTTAATGCTTTTAGGTCACACATTATTCTCAGTTTACAGAACAAGTAAACAAAATAAATATACCCCACCCCCCACCCTCCTCTTTTTTTCCCTTATTTGTCTGGCTACATGATGTAACTAACTAGAAGGTGAGAGAAAGACAGGTGGTTGTGTTTCTGCTCCGTTACAGTCTTTCTGTAATCTAGTACAGGACACCTCTGTCTCTGTGTCAGTGTGTCCTGGGTAATAAGAGGTCTTGGTGCTTCGCTCCATGGCTGCAGCATGCCACGGAGGGGAGGGGGGGGGGGGGGGGGGGGGGGGGTGAGGGTGGGGGAGAGGAGTAGTGATTGTCATTCTGGAGGGCTCTGCTGCTCTGCAGACATGAGCGCTGGGTAATGATGGCGGGGGAACAGGGCTGTGCCGGCTGAGAAGAGAACAGGTTTTGGCTGAGGGGAATGGTTCCTAAGCCAATGCCTAATTCACAGATCCTCTGTTAAGCCACATTATCTCTGCCTGTATGAACTAATGTGCCGAGATGCCCCCTAAACATTTTCCCCGGGATGAGATGGGAATCATGGAATGGAAACCGGGAGAGGAGGTAGCTAGCGTTAGACGCATGTCGGTGTTCGAGGCATTAATG